TTTATTATTATTATTTTTAACCATTATTTTTGAGACAGAGAGAGACAGAGCATGAACGGGGGAAGGTCAGAGAGAGGGAGACACAGAATCCGAAACAGGCTCCAGGCTCTGAGCCGTCAGCCCAGAGCCCGACGCGGGGCTCGAACTCACAGACTGCGAGATCATGACCTGAGCCGAAGTCGGCCGCTTAACCGACTGAGCCACACAGGTGTCCCTTTTTTTTTTTTTTAATATTTTTTTTTTCACAAATCTGTTTTTAAAAGCAAAGGTAAGGGGTGCCTGGGTGGCTCAGTCAGTTGGGCGTCCGACTTCAGCTCAGGTCATGATCTCACGGTTCGGGAGTTTGAGCCCCGCGTCGGGCTCTGTGCTGACAGCTGACAGCTCGGAGCCTGGAGCCTGCTTCGGGTTCTGTGTCTCCTTCTGTCTCTGCCCCTCCCCAACTTGTGCTCTGTCTCTCAAAAAATAAATAAATGTAAAAAAAAAAAATTTTTTTTTTTTTTTTAAAAAGCCAAGGTAATACTACTGTGCCACGATAGTAACTCCATGTCATTTCCAGATAGGTAGGCATTATAAGGTTGGTTTTTTTTTTTTTTTTTCAGTCTATTAAATTTAAGGCAATCAAAACGGTGATCATAAACCTAATGAAACACTCTTTTGCCTTCTGATTTGAAGAGGCAGTAAACACGGAACAAAATATGCCATATACCAAAGGACACTAGCTTTCACAAGACACTCTCTTCCTGGTAATTTTTAAAGGGCTATGTAAATGTTATGCGTTTTCTTCTTTGTAAGTGGAAGAAGATGATGGTGACGACAGCCTCCCCCAGCTGAAGAAGGAGTCAGAACTGCCCTTTGTTCCCAACTATTTGGCCAACCCAGCCTTCCCTTTTCTCTACACCCCTGCGGCGGCAGAGGATGCGGCCCAGCTCCAGAACGGGGGACCCTCCACACCTCCTGCGTCACCCCCTGCGGAAAGCACTCCTCCGCTGCTGCCTGCCGGGGAGCCTCCCCTGGTCGGGGCCTTTCCACGGGACCACGCCTCGTTGGCCCTGGTTCAGAACCGAGATGTGTCCGCCCCCTCTGCCATACTCCGAACACCAGAAAGCACAAAACCGGGTCCTGTCTGTCAGCCACCAGTGAGTCAGAGCCGCTCACTGTTCTCTTCTGTCCCGTCCAAGCCACCAGTGTCTCTGGAGCCTCAAAATGGGACATACGCAGGGCCAGCGCCAGCCTTCCAGCCATTTTTCTTCACGGGGGCATTTCCATTTAACATGCAAGGTAACCCTCCTCAGGAGACAGCCTCTGCGGGATGGGGTGGGGAGGGCGCCCAGAGATCTAGCGTTTCACTCCTGGGGGTTTTTTTTTTTGCGGGGGGGCCGGGGCGCGGTTTGAAAGGATGGGATTTATGTCTGTATTTATTTATGTGTTTAGAGCCTAATTGTAAACATGTAGAAGTTTTGCAAGACCACTATAAGGAGCTCCCTTTAGCCAGACTCCTATATTATTTACGTTTTGCCCTTTTACCTGCAGTGGTTAAGTGTGTATTTCCTAAGAGCAAGGAGAGTCTGTTACATGACCACAGTCCAGTGACCACATTTAGGAAATGTAACCTTGCTATAATACCATTCTCTAAGCCATCTGTGTTCTCTAATTCAGGCCATGTTTCAGTGTTGGTGCCCTCTGCAGCTCTCTGTGCTCCCTCCACCCCTGTCCTCTGCCCAGGGTCACCTGTCACCTTTGGTTATCATACTGTTCCATTCCCCCTTCACCTGGAAGCTTCCTCAGCCCTTCTCTATCATTTTGGACCTCAGTATTTTTTGAAGAGTCCAGGCCAGGTACTGTGTAGAACATGATCTCCTATCTGGGCGTCTGGGTGGCTCAGTCAGTTAAGCCCGGCTCCTGATTTCTGCTCAGGTCACCATCTCACAGTTCGTGGGATCGAGCCCCACATCAGGCTTTGTGCTGACAGTGCAGAAGCTGTTTGGGATTCTCGCTCTCTGTCCCTCCCCAGCTCACGTGGGCACTCTCTCTCTCTCAAAAATAAATGAATGACGGTCCGTGAGTTCGAGCCCCGCGTCAGGCTCTGGGCTGATGGCTCAGAGCCTGGAGCCTGTTTCCAATTCTGTTACTCCCTCTCTCTCTGCCCCTTCCCCGTTCATGCTCTGTCTCTCTCTGTCCCAGAAATAAATAAACGTTGAAATAAATAAATAAATAAATAAATAAATAAATAAACTTAAAACAAAAGAATACGATCTCCTATTACCTTTCTCTAGGGACTATTTGATATTCTGTTGTAAAGAAGGTCCTTCCCTTCTCCTCCATTTAGATCAGTATGAACTCGCAGATTCTTTATTATTAGGTTATAATTTTGTTACTATCATCATCATCTTGATGTTCACGTTATACCAGATCTGTCGAGAGGGAGCCCCTTGGAGCCAGTTCTCACATCGCTTGGACACATGCCATCATTCTTGGAGCATTTCCTTACTTTTTGGTGCAGCAAGAGGGCTCCAGGCTCCTAGTGTCACTTTCCCTGCTCCCACCCCGGAGGCAGAGAATGGTGTTCAGAAACTAGGATGTGGACACCAGGTGCCCTTATGCTCCAGGGGTGTCATGTCTTCCAGGCCTACACAGAGGACAGAGCCAGGAAAGAAAGAGAAAGGAAGAAAGAGAGAAAGAGAGAAAGGGAGGGAGGGAGGAAGGAAGGAAGGAAGGAGCAAACAAATACCCGTATACAGTCATAGTTACATTTCTTCCTATGTTTCTGTATCTATTTCTCTTTATAAAAATATTAAAAACAAGTTCATCCTGATCCCTCCCATTCCAGATAGACACCCCGGGACACAGTCTAGTCTTACCTTTACTATTTCTTTTTTTTTTTTTTATTGTTTTCTTTATTTTTGAGAGAGAGAGAGAGAGAGAGAGACAGAGTGCGAGCAGGGGAAGGGCAGAGAGAGAGGGAGACACAGAATCTGAAGCGGGCTCCAGGCTCCCAGCTGACAGCACAGAGCCCGACGCGGGGTTCGAACTCACAAACCCTGAGATCATGACCTGAACCAAAGTCAATGCTTAACCGACTGAGCCACTCAGGCACCCCCCCTTTACTTTTTCTGTGTAAGTGACTCCCTCACTTTCTGGTTTTGAGGACCTGCTGTTATATGTGCTGAT